AGGCAGCAGTCGAAGCCTTACAACGTCACCTGGCGAAGGCAGTCGCAGATTCATCTGGGCACCGGAACGATCGCACCGCTCAGTTCTTTTTGAATACGGGGAGATCCTATATCAATGGGAATGTTAAATGTTTATGAGGATTTAATTGATGGAATAATATGGAATATACATAACCAACTGGGATATGATGGGATATTTATATATATATATACGTTTATATATATACATATTATAATATATTACAATATAACATGGGAATGACATTTGGCTATTCTCAGATGTTGAGGGTTGGGAGTTTGTTCCAGTCCATTGCATCAGAACTTGGGGCCGCAGTTGAAACTATGAGTGCATATATATATATATATAATATATATATAATATATATATATAATATATATATATATATCTTAACAATAGTCATAGGGGTTGTCTCGCAAATGATAGAGGTGATCACCATGGTTTTTTCACCATTAACAACTCCAACTGCACCCCAAAAACGAATCGATTTTCAGTTGGAAGTCGCAACAGGCAGCAGAACAAGCAGCAGAACAAGCCCCGCCTGACATGGACGGTGCAAAGCTTGGGATGTGGATGGATGGGATGTGGATCAAAGCCCACCTCCGGATGTTCCCCGTTCAAGTCATCCTATAGGTGTCCTCTCAGCATTGAATATTATTGATCCATCCCGATATTCGGAGCTGAACTTTCCAAGGGGTTGCCCAGGAAAAGTACCACATTTTGAGACAAACAACTATTTCTTGGGAGCATCAACTGGGGCTCAAGGTTAAAAGGTTCTGCCTGCGAAAGTTCATCCAATTGATGTATTGTTCTAAGGCCATGTTTGCAGGACATTCCCTTATGTCGTTCTCTCACAAGCCTTACTTTATACATTTTTGTACATTCATTAGGTATTATTGGGTCATATTAAGATACATCAACTCAGTTGGTGCCTGGAACCTACCCCTCAATTCAGCAGCCGAGATATGCCACCTGTCATGGAGGACTGGAAAGTCTGTGGATGGATTGGCCAAGATAGCGTTTGGGTTTGTACAAAAAACGGATATCTATGGATACCTCAAAACACCATTCTTGATGTTCTTTTTCTACCTTACCATTTTGATCCGTTTTGGTGTACGCAGTGTACGCAACATTTTAAGACAAACTCATGGAGAATATGGGCAGATGGCTGCCTGGTTCTGTTTCATCCCACATTCGCTTAGTGACTGCATTCTTTCGCAGTCACACACATGGTGCGGAAACTGATGTCAACCATTATATTGATTATTGTTTACTGCAGTTATATGGATACCACAGATACCACACAATGTTATACATATGTATATATATACTGTACTCAAACAACAGACTCAGTTCCAGAAATCTTTACAGTTTTGGCAACATGTTTCAAACATGAATTTCAATGTGTCCCCTGAATGTCTTTCATTTTCGGGAACAATACCCAAATGGATAATTGTGTTTGAAGGTAGGAGAAGGAGACCTGCCCTGTTGAGCAGACCGTTTCTGTGCAACAACCCAAGGCTACTAGGGGTTCTCGACAGCATCTCTCTGCAAAGTTTCTTGATTATCAATCTCACAATTTGTTGCTGACATCACCGACTGGTCAGGAGCTACCAGTTGGTCAAGGCCTTGTGTCTCATTTACATGGTGTTGCAGTAACGCTTCGTGGGCAGTGTCCAAAATCCCTGTTGATCAAAAAGGGGATTCTACTGCCCAATATGTTGGGATTTATCATGATCCATCATGGATAGTTATATCTTTGACCCTCTCTACTTGGATCATAGTTTTCAACATGTTTCAACCAGCACCGGCCGCCAAACCTTGTGTCAGTTGCGCCAGGCATGAGCAGCATAGTGAGAGGTGGCGTTCCCGGTGGCGCAGGTGGTGGTGTCCCTGGTGGCGTTCCTGGTGCTGTTGGCGGCATCCCAGGTGGCACTGCTGGTTATGGCGGAAGGCAAGGCGGTAGTGGACGAGTTCCTGGCATTGCTGGTGGTTTGCCTGCAGATGTTCCTGGTGTTGTGCATGGCTCAATGGAGGAATCGCAGGACCGGGGGTTGAACATGCTTGAACAATCTGGAACCGTTTTGTTTTCATGTTTGTTCCGCTGATTTTTCTTTATCACGGACTCTCTCCTACAGATTTTGCCTCATTGGTGATTTTGCCTTTGTTCATTTTACGCGTCAAGTTTCTTAGCATACATGGCGTAGCATGCAAATTGACTTTGATCGTATCTTTTTATATTGCATCATGTCTAAACCACAACCAGATATAACCAGATCTACACTTGATAGTTGTTCCTCTAGAAATGCTGCTATAGTTCAACCTTTTGTGGTATTGAAATCATTTCGATGGGATCATTTCGATGTGCGGTTCACGGGTTCCACGGGTTCCACGGGTTCCACGGGTTCCACGGGTTCCACGGGTTCTCCAGGACACAGGAAGCCGCCTCGCCCCCAGGATGGCTTTTTTGATGGTTCACCAGTGACAGTGATCCCTGCTATCATCATCATCATCATCATCATCAACATCATCATCACCACCACCACCACCACCATCATCATCATCATCATCATCATCATCATCATCACCATCACCATCACCATCACCATCACCATCATCATCATCATCATCATCATCATCATGATCATGTCATCGTCATCATCATCATCATCATCATCATCATCATCATCATCATCATCATCATCATCATCATCATCATCATGGTCAACCCCAAATCCGAAACCCTCAACCTGATGTGAAGCTAACCGCGTTATTTTTCTTTGTTCCACCTGATGCGAACATGTCTGATGGTGTGGTATTTGGGCAGTTGGATGGCGGTCCTCTGAGGTCATGAAGGTGGAAAGTTCAAATCCGCGGTCGGAGACTCAGCTGGTGCGAAACATCGATGGATGGGATAGGATTGGAATGGATGGTGGTGGCGTTGGTTGAACTGAGGTGACATTTACACATGATGTGGCGCTTTTTGTGATGGTGATGTTAGAATATGTTAGAATAACATGTTTCCACCGTCATCGAGGGAAGCGACGATGACTTGTGACCTGCCAACCCATCCCGGAAATGCGGGCGTGGGTCAAAACAGCCCAGAAAATGAGATGGTTAGCCACAATTATGCTGCAAGACAAACAATACTCGTAACCCACATCTGTCAATCATAGTTAATGCCACACTTAATCGTACACCATGTTCATCTGACAGTGAATCCCAGAGTTGATCTGATAGTAAATTCCCGTCGTGGCTCCATTTTCTTTCTATCATAGTTCTCATCATTGGATTCAGGGGAAATCTACGGGAAAACCCTATATTTGGTGGTAAAAATCATGGTTTCCTGTAGATTGTCCCTTTAACCAATCCATAGTTCTTACCGTTTCCTGGATCTCCAACTGGACCCCTGGCCGCCTGGCCGCTGCTAGGCGCACCAAGTGCATGTCCAGCGCAAGACCTTGACCAATCTCTCCCTCTCCAAGGCGGAAGTTCGGGTAGAGCATGGCATAGATCCATGGTTATTCAGAGGGATTAACCCTGATTAACCTATAAAAATCTATAAATTCTGATTCAATTGCGGATGTCATTGGATATAACTGGATATCATGGAAGGTATTGGTGTTTTTTCTTGATATATTATTTATAAATTTTATAATATCTACATAGTCAGATACTCATGTTCTATTGGGTATATTTAGTTTGTCAGAATTTATCTTTTTGTAAAGTAGAAATCGACACGACACGCATTTTTTTTTCTGCCGCATGGCAATATTTGTTTGTTCACTCTTGGATGCAGCATGTTTTTTCTTCGCTTCCTCTCTGCTGAGGAAGCAGGCTTCGACCGGTTGGCAGATTTGCGAAGAGAGAACGAGTATTTGAAGAAGGACATGTCTTTTGTCCAGTGGCTCTGAGGGAGCTAAGAAGCTATGCCAGCTATGCATATCCATATATGAAATGGGGAGCTCAGGAGCCACTAAGAGTTTCCCAACCCGATCATAGTGTTGCTTCCCACTGTTGCAATATTCACTTTCAGAGAGCCATGATTGAAGTGAGGGTGTCAAAGAAGAGCACGCTCAAACACTGAGCTCACTGGAGTATCTTATTGCAAGGCAACATATCATATCCAATGGGATTCTTGCGAAGTGTATTGCAGAATGACCTGCATGGTTGTGTGATAACTTTTCCTGCAAAACAATTGGAGCAGCAGATGTTTTCACTGTGTGGCAGCAGCAAAGAATGAAAGAGAGAAAGAGAGAGAGAGAGAGGTTGGCCGAGCAGTGCGCTTGCACGTCAATTACTAAGTTGTCAATGAGTTTGGTTTGAAAAGAAGGCCGTTCCATCCGATTTTTCTCAATTTCAATTGCCATATGAGTTACGACTTTTATTTGGTGAAGTGAAGAGTAGTTATCCGGATACCCCGGTTTTTCGACAACGTCATATTCAGGTTGCAAAACAAGGTAGGAACACCCAGAGAACGAGGTAGGCATTTCATGCGTAGCAAATTTAGCCCTGCGCAGCATTGGTGGCAAACCCCTCGTTTTTTTGTTCATCCAACAATCACCATTTTTCATGTCCAAATCATATACAACTGAGCCATTTTGGGGGTAGATAAACTGGTCTATTGAGGACTATTGAGGGATTACAGTATAGCACCCAATTTTTACAGGGATACCTATCATATCCCATAAGGTCCATAACAAGCAACAGTACAGTATTTTTACAGAAAACGGGCGCATGGCAGGATTTAGAACAATTACGCTCTGGCACCTCAGGATGGGCAGGGTACACATGGAGGATCTGTAGATTTGGGAAGAATTGCTCGAATTCTTTGAGAATCTTTGGTGTTCGGTGTTTGTTCTTGAAAAAAAAAGCTGTCAGACAGCGTTCTGTCATCTCAAGAGAAGCCTTTGGTGGGATGTAAAGTCGCAACTATCATACGTCAAACAGCTGGCTCAGGATTGCAAGGTCTCAAAGCTGCTTCACCGTTGTCAGAGGAGCAGATGAATCGCCGGAACAGCAAACTTAAGCAGTTTGGAGACAAGCTGCTTGTAGCATCTTGTAGCAGAATCCATCTTTTGCCAAATAAGCAACCACAATCCACGATTCGATCTTCCATCCCAAAGCAATCCTGTTTGGCATATAATTACTTAATTTACTTAAAATATCTTAAAATGTACCTCCAGCATAACCAAAGAGGAGGTGGATACAGCGTACCAGCCTGGAGCATATAGTCCTCGGTGCTGTTCAACAGTTCGTGGCGAGCTGCGTTTTGTGGCAGGACATGTTGCGAAAATATCTGAAAGAGTTGGATGTCTTTGGCAGAGACAAGGTGTCTGATTTGCATTGAATACCACCTTGACATACCTCGACAAATCGATGCAACTCAGCTGAGAGCAAATCTTGAGAGAAATGTAGGTGTTCAAAGGTTTTGCGTTCAGTCTATCTTTAACCAGTTTGAGATGAATTCAGTTGATGGCTGGTCCAGGATTGTTGCACAACTGTATCCCCCAGCCTGCCTGGGTATTTTGCTTGTGCAGGTCTTCGAAAAACTTCAAGATTCTACCATGGCCGGTGGGCAGGAGATTCGACATGCAACGTGCACATGAGCTCTGTAGGCTTTGAGGATCCTGTTCCAGACAGACACTGCGAAGCCACTACTCAAGTGTTGGATGAGTTGTTGAATTTTCAACTATATGCGCGTGTCTGAAAATGGGGTAACCCCCAATTTGAACAATTTTAAATGAAAACATGACAAGAAACCATTGGAGTTTGAGTTATGCGCCCAGTTTTAAAAAGATACCCAGTATACAAAACATTGGTTGTATTGCATGGCTATTTGATGAAGAAATTGGATGCTATTGAATGGCCAACTCATCAAGACAGATGATATTGCATTGCTGACTACTTGAACAAATCTTGAAAGTTGAATGACATCTTCCTGACTAGTAAAGATAATATGGGTTTATTTGATAAACAGGCTAGACCTAAATAATGTTGGATACGGATTAATGTAGGGCCCCCCCCTCAACAATTTTACGATACTCAATAAATCGACATTTTAAACGCACCCCCCAACAATTTTTAGGATAGTCAACTTAAGCAAGGATTTCAATTGACATCAATCTACTTTCAATTGATTCTCCTTTTAAATCCAAAAAAACATGGCCCCAAAAGTTTTTGTGCACAATAGGGTACCATCGAAACAATTACATTATTGAGGATCTCAGTCACTCATGGGGTACCCCCTTGAAAAATTGTTTGGGTGCTGTTTTTAAATAAGGGTTTAATAATGCATCTAATTATTTGGAAAACCTTGCATTTTCAAGGCTTTAACATGGATATGGCTTTCTAAAGTAAATGGACCAGCTTTACCCAAAGAAAGGTGTATAAAGGTGGATAAAGCTCCTCCTGAAAAAATTGGATCTGAGAACAAACTTCTCACAATAGAGGCCCACCCCCATTCACAAGATACTCAATTATTTTTGAAAAACATCTCACAATAGAGTCCCAGGACACTAATCGGTATACTACCATTAAGCTAGTTCATCACTTCCCTCTGATCAGGTCAGGGGGTACACCTATGGACATCTAAAACCCTGAGCCGTCTCTATAGGCCATCGTTTTTTTTTTTCAGGACCTGAGTTTGAACGATGCTGAAGCAGCCATGGCTCAGCTGGAAATGATCCTGCGCTTGGCTTCCGTTGCCAAAGTTCAGGTGCGATGAAATCGCCGAGTTTGTAGCTGGATAAAGGATGGAAGATCCCTGGGTAAGCTAGCATAGATATGGAAAACCAACCCATGGCGAAACTGGAAACCAATGGAAAATCCAGGATGTAGCCTCTGAATATCTGTAGATGGTGGATTTTCTATCAGTGATGTACTCTTCGTTATTATTGCATATCCCGGTTAAGGTAGGGTTGATCCACTTGTAGCATCTTGACCTCCAACTTCCAGGGTTATATCGTTATACCCATACCTTGCTAAGTGGGATGAGCCACCAATCAAAATGATGGTTTTAGCATTGCTTTGACGGGGATTTGACGGTCAGATATGGAGATCTCGAAATGCGGTGGTGATCTACCAATCTAGTATAGCTGGAAAACACATCATTCTCGTCTTGAAATCTATCATTACCTGGTGAATTCGCCTGGTCACGTCGGGTCACTTGACCACATGCTGGATTTGGTAGGGCAGATTTGATCAGAATTGTACATTGAATATCGGCATTCTTGTATATTCTGGTTGCATCAGTGCCATTTCTCACAAACTGCTGATATTTTCATCTACCTGCAGGGCGATGTTTCTTTCAGCAACTGCTCCGATTTCAAACACTTGTACACCAACCCCTGAAAAAGATAGAACCTTGATGAAATCCTACTAAAATAATGGTAGATTAAACCTTTTCTATCTCTCTCTCTCTCTGTATATATATATATGATTATACATGACATATTATATATATAATATATTATACATATTATTTATATATATATATACGTACATGAGTTTACTGTCACCTGCGAAGCGGGACTTTCTAGGAACCAAGTAGGAATCGCCAGGCTTTGCCTGAAGAGACACCTGCAGAGACCCCTCCAGCAGCACAGGCCTGGAATTTGGTGGCTTTGGAATGGTTTTGAAATGTTTGACCTCAAGGATCTATGATTCCTGTGGATCTAAACAGCTACATTCCTGGTTGATATGGTTTCGGGATCGGACTGCAACACTCCCTTGGCGCCTGAAGATATCAGATGACACGTACAATTCCTACATAAATGAAGCAGTTGCGTGGTTGAGGATCAACAGTTGACATCACAGACATGAACACTTTGCACTGGGTGTCCTGTGGTCCCTTGCTCCCCTGGAGTATCACCTGCTTTTCACATGTGCCATAGTCAAAAGTTGTATTATCTATGTAATATGTTATTATATATAACTGTGCTGGGAAATGGTAACATTTTTTTGAATAGGAGTGTAGATAGCCACTATATGTTTATTATTCCAGGCTATTCCAAATTTATGATGGGATGGTTGAAGAATACCACATTAATATACATTAATCCCATGTTTATATGGGATTCATATCACATACCCATCATGAGAACGGCGTAACGGGCGTGCTGTGTTTCCATTTTGCTCCACAGGGAAAAGGAAAAGGAAAGGGCCCCAAGGGTCCTGCGTCACCCCCTCAGCAAGACACGGGCGGGTTTCATTGGGCGTGTCTCCTCAAATGGTGGATTTTTTCAGGCCAAGTTATGGCAACTTTATATGGGGAAGATACGGGAAAATTATTGATATTATTGTAGACCCTGGGATTGGGATGATTGGGTTTTCCCCTAATTTTGCAAGTCCAAACCCACATGCTTGCCATTGCACGTATTTTCTCAGCCATTCGTATCACTGTAGCTTTGCCCGATGAATGATGGGTAGAATTCAATCGTGGGATTTGGTTTCAACAGATGATTTTCAGGGCTTGATAGAATTTTTTCACTGACACAAACTTCAAAGTTCAAACATCATTTCAAGATATTTCAATATATTTCAATACACCATGGTTTTTGTCCCAATGGTTTTTGCTGGACATGTTCCCTTCACTAACCAACTCGCCATCTTTCTACTCACCAACTCGCTAGCGCGCTAAGAGTCCGAGAGTCCCATCCAGCGAATGTGTCCAGCGAACGGAGAAAAAGGGATATTTCATGGCAATGGGATATCAATACTTTGAATATTACACTTCCCATTAAATGTATGTATACATATATGTATATACATATGTATATATATATATATGTATATATATATATATACATACTTATGTATGAACACACACATATATGTATATATATGTATATACGTCGTATATGTATCCCATGACATCCCTTAATATGTAATGGATATCAACCAACCATTGTTGAACCAAGGAAAGGCGGTGCAGGTGCCGCTCCTGCGGAAGGCGGTGTGGGATGATGGTTGATTTTCGGTTTGGCCGTGGTTTGCTTCAAAATTGCTGATGGGCATATACATATACGTGTATATGTATATAATTTGAGAATAGAATTTTGGGTACTCTGTTTTTTTTGGGTACACCCAAGTCCACAGTTCCTGACACACCATGAAACTTCTCATCCTGAAGTGGGAGTTTTCCCGCCAATCTAAAGCTTTAGATAATGATTCTGGAGTCAGGTTCCTAATCACATTCCGTATACCATCTGGTAAACTAACATAGCTATGGAAAATCACCATTTTTAATGGGAAAATCCACTATAAATGGTCATTTTCAATAGCTATGTTAGTTTACCCGAGGGTAATTCAGCAGGGTGACACTACATCGCTCTATGTTGAGGAGGGATTCTGTCGAGTTACTGTCAGGCAAGGCTGCAGAAGACACCGATGGGACTGTCCCGGAGGTCAAGGCAGAGGTGGGGCGCCTTCTTTTGCTGTGGAAAGTGGGGCTACGCTCATAATATGGGGGTTTCCATAAATGGGGGTACCCCCAAATGGATGGTTTATAATGGAAAATCCATCTATAAATGGATGATGACTGGGGGTACCCCTATTTCAGGAAACCTCCATTAATGGTGATGGATCAATACTGTGTACCTATGGGTTACTCATGGCATTTTTAGGGAACTGGATGAGCAACAAAGAATCCCGGCAATTTTGATGTTGACAGGGTACTGATCGGGTTTTGACCCAAACTCTTTTGGTGTCGTGAAACTATGAGATGTATGAGGCATCATCCCACCATCTTGAATGGGATTCCAGACAGAATGTAATGAAAGTACCAGTAGATGACCATCCCCTTCTGTAGCAACAATAAATCATGTTTTCATTCAAGTTTCGACCAATTCTCTCCAACGTCAGTTGTTGGTTGGTGGTTGTATGATATAATATCCTCATTGGTTTGCCAAAACCAACACTGAATGTTGTTTATATAGCATCATATATCCACCTGTATCTACCCCCTGACCAAAAAAACAATCACCAGAAACCATGAGAAACCATAGAAACCATCAGAAACCCGACAAGATCATCCTCCAGAAACATCCAGAAACCACGAGAAGCCATCAGAATTTGGCAATCCCATTGATGTCTCAAAACTGGCAGGAAAAACCCGCCGAAGAAGCTGCGGAAACGAGTGCGGCACCCAAAGCTAAAGGAAAGGCCAAGGCGGCCTCGGCAAGGGACGGTTTTAACCAGGAAAATATTGGGTTTATCTGGGTAACATTAGGGGAATCATCCCGGAATGGCTGAACTTGTGAGGTGAATAACTATGAGTTGTTCAGATTTATTGGTCTATCCGGGCTTTACCACACAAACAAGGAATTTAAACCAACCATTTATGGGGAGATCATTTGGATATACTGGAGATCTATAACATTATGGAACCAACAATCTGATGTATTGGTTTGTCGCAATGGGATTTGGAGTTCCCTGTTTTCAGATACAACGGTCACAATTGGAGGTGAAACGCCAAATCACGTGGGTTGCTCATGATTCAAACACGGTTTAAGGGAACAAAAGTGCCGTATTTCAATATTTTCAATGGCCGTTTGGGGGCTAGAGCCTAATTTCAGACAAAGCCTTATAGTAGAGATGGATTTGATGGCTTGATGGAAGGGAGCTAATCTATAGGACCTAGGATGGCTTCACGTATTGGAATCAATGCTCGATCTCAGCAGGATCTGACTCTGAACAGATTCTGATCTGTCCGAGAGGGACGATAGGATCAGACTTCTACTTGTACAGTCAGTATTTGTCAAGAGAGATCATGAATATCATTGATCTTCGCGGTTTGTGGGTTTGAGAAGGTTTGAGATGACCGAACATGGTTCGAGTTCACAAAGCACTTTGACACGACGGCTTTGACCGGCAGAATCTTGATTCTTGGCAGGGCAAAGGACCACCGAAAGGAAAGCCAGCTGCCGAGGAAGCCAAAGAAGCCAAGGAAGAGTCTCACTTGAAACAGGTATGCCGGGGATAGACGATAAAGCCAACAGCGCAGGTTTGGGATGGGGGGGTTGGGTGTGATTATAAAGATGAATCCAAGGAATCTGGAAATATTGCAAATCCTCAAACAAGCTGGGCATTGCGCTGCTCTTTCCAACAGAGTTTGCCACAACGACCAAGGAGAGCAAAGAAGAAGCGAAAGCAGAGGAGACGCCAGCGCCCAAAGGGAAAGGCCCCAAGGGTCCAGCCAAAGGAAAAGGACCTCCCGCCCCAGCTGGGAAGGGTCCCCCAGCCCCAGCAGGAAAGGGTCCAGCACCTCCTGCTGGTAAAGGTCCAGGGGCTCCAGCGGCCAAAGGCGGAGCTGGCAAGGGCGGCAAGGCTGGCGGCAAAGGTGGGAAGGGTGGCGCAGCCTCGGCCGAAACCAAACCAGCAGTGAAACCAGAGAAGCCCATGAAGCCACTCTGGTGGAGCAAGATGTTGTTTGGTGCTCAGCTGAAGAAGGGAGAGACCATTTGGGACGAGGTGAAGGATGACATGGATAAGCTGCCCTTGGAGGAGCTCACTGAGAGATTTTCCAAGTCTGCGGTGGCCAAAGAGAAGCCAAAGAAGGAGAAGGAGGAGGGCAAGAAGGAGGAGTGGCTTTGCGACAAAAACTAAAACACCATGAAACAACCCCACAGAATCATACAAATCCTGCAACGATAGCATTAAACAGTGTGAATATTTGTGAATATTTAAACATTGGGATCAACATCGGACTTAATCCAGTTCCATTTGTTACTGATGTCTGGCCAGGAGTTAAAATCCTTGCGCATCATCACCGATCCTCAGATCGTGGTCGGCAAGGAAGCATCCTTGAAGAAACTTCCGGAGCCTAGTGAAGTCGCACGCGCGCTAAATGAGCTGGACGATAGTGTTCTGGACATGGAGCTCTTGCAAGTGGTCAAGGATAATGCGTGTCCTACACCTCCACAGATGAAAGAAATGGATGAAATCCGGCAGAAGAATCCAAATGTTCCCTTCGCGCTGCCTGAAAGTTTCATGTGGGTCATTGGCAAGATGCCTGCTTATCAGCAGAGGATTGATTGCTGGTGCTTTGCCATGAGTTACAAGGAACAGCATGCCAGCTATCATACCGCCTTAACGGACTTCCTGCAGGTGGTGGAGTGTTTCCAGGAATCCGAGATGTTGCCCTGCTTGCTGGGCGTCTTAGATTTGCTGTTTCATAGATTTTCTGTTTTTTCTGACATATTTGTTATAGCTATAGCAACACCCCCTGTCATGGAAAAGTTGGACAGCTGGAAGCCAATGGGGAAAACATCATCTATGAACATCCCCATCAAAGTCTTCAAGTCTTCATTTTTTGGATCCCTACTGACCATGAATTCCCATGAATTCCCATGAATTCCCATGAAATCCCGGCTTTTTTTTGGCCACGTCCAGGCATCATTTTAGCTGTGGGGAACTTCCTGAATGGCGGCACCAATCGGGGCCAAGCCGATGGCTTTGACATCGAGTCCCTGGCCAAGCTGGAAGGCATTAAGGATGCCACTGGCAAAGACATCAGGCTGGGAACGGAATGTGAATGAATCTTTTTCTTGAATTTATATATATATATTATATTATATATAGAGATATGTATATATATATATATATATACGTAATCATCCTGAAGTAGATAGAATCTGGAGTTTACATACATATTCCCATATTTTAGTGAGTGTTTTTAATGTTCTATCTACTTCAGGAACGTCAGGATGACTATAGGTGGAGATGGAATACCAGCAGGGATATCAGATGGGAGAATCAGGTACCTGGGACTGGAGGTGGATGGAGGTGGTATGATGGGGATATAACTATTGAGTACTGTTTGAATGGCATATTAGTGGGGATATCCGATGGGATAGATATATAATTATATACAGTATATATATATATGGATGATAATGGATATTATATATATACATGTTATATTGCAGGTATCATCAAAAACACAATTCACCATGGACATTAAATGCAATTTTTATGATGACCAAACGTTGTGCGCTTGGCACAGCATGATGGCATGGCTGATTCCCTCGCTTCTCGTGCTCCAGGCACTTCATCTTTGATCTTTTCCTGAATCGGATGAATGAGCAGTCGTCGCAATTCATGGAGGAGATCATGCCCTGTATGGTGAACATGACACCCAACTGCACGAAAAAGCTGCACGATGTTGTTAGGTATGAAAAATAAAAAGAGGGGTTTATAACTTTATAATACTTTATATAACCTGAATTATAACATAATTTGGTATGAAGATCCTTTCAACAGATTTACCACCTTTTTTTTTTGGTGTCTTCACGGGTCATTAAAAAATGAACCAAAAATTTGGTGCCATGTCTCCAGCCCAAGGAATCGGCGCATCAGCAAGGACTCAGATGGGGTAGAAACTTGGCGATTTCTGGCGACCCCGAAAAATGGGACATCTGCTGGGGAATTGATGGCTTTTTACCCTCTGGTAAACTAACATAGCTATTGAAAATGACCCATAGAAATAATGGATTTCCCATTAAAAATAGTGATTTTCCATAGCTATGTTAAATTACCAGAGGGTAAGTTGTTTTTATGGTCCCCTTTTGGCTAAAACTCTAACAATTGAATTATTTGAATTGTTGGGGAAACTTGAAACCGGCACCTCCCCAGTTGATGGGAAAAACCTTATAGAAAAACGGCTGAAGATTTTCCAAGGAAAAGCTGGATAAGTCCGCGAAAATCGCCTTTGAGGACTTTGACCTCTGTGTCACGGCGCTGTGCCTCGGGGAAAAAAACATGGAACCATGGTCCATATCATCCGATCTGCAAATCTCCGAAAGCTGTGTTTTCTTATTTTTCTTTCTGGGCCGAAGGGGCATATCTGTCCTCTAAGATTCTTTGCTTGCCTTGTTGAAGTCGAAATTGAAGTGGAAAAAAAAGTAGTGTAGGCTTTACGGCCTGCTGACAGGCTGAGAATCTTCATTATTCCAAGGCATGTCTATGGTTTCAGCAATTCTCAACAAGACATTTGTATTCGCATGTATTTATATGACCTCCCTTTTTTGAAACGGTTTGTGCCATCTACTTTGCATGTGGGGTAGTATGTTTATGCAATTAATGTCAGGACATTTTAGGAATGGTCCAGCACAACTGTTTTGTTTGGCCTCAAGGCACTCCGACTTCGTTGCAAAACACGAAATGATGCAGAGTCTTGGAAGAGATTTCAGAGCAGAACAGCAAAAATATGGAGAAGGGTTAGAAACCTGATTTTGCACATATGCATGGGAGATAAACATTCTTGGCTACTAGCTACTGTGGCGTGAACCACATGTATATGTGTAGCCATGCTCGACAAGAATGGTAGAATTAGAGTTTTTGATCAACCAAGTGCGGGGCTTTAGAAACAAATGCCTAAGAACATCTAAGAACTGAGGAATTGAAGCGACCAACCATGTAATATCCATGTAATATGTTTTTTTCTCAAAAAATGACCAGCTCGGGCCAGCCCGGTGTGCCAGTGCCCGGTGCCAGTGCTGCTCCCGTGCTGACCGCCTAGGATGATTTTGTCATACTTCGAAGATCCTGCAGATCCCTTCAAGATGCAAATGCCAAAGATCTATTCAGAAGCCAAAGAGAAACTTGATGAGTTGTTGTCCTTGAAAGACACTGCAAAGGAGATTCTGCAATCTGTGAAATCTCAACTTGGGGGATGCTTGACATGGCTCATCCCTATTCGTGTACTGCAGACGGAAGTCCCCAGAATTCCTGAGCAGGTTGGGGGACAAGAGTTTTGGAATTTCACTTTTGAAATTGCGGAATCACTTTCAGCATGAGTCGATCCATGATATTTTATGATACTTAGCCACTTGGTTCTCATGCTTGCAACCTGCAGGAGAAATATGCATCTTGGCTTGAAAGCCATTGCGGATAGCCCTGGTTGCCACCAGCCTTTTGGAGGGAACACCCCTGTTAGATCCTGTTAGCAACTCCGCATGACATATGACTCGCAATGAGAAGGGCTCCAAGTGTGCAAAAGAATTGGGCATAGGTCAACACCTCTGAGACACACACAATCACACATATATATAATATATGATACTATATGTATATAATATATGATACTATATATATAATACTATATGTATAATATATGTACTGTATATATATAATACTATATATATAATACTATGTATATATATATGACATAAGTCTATAACTATATAGCCTACCAGATATCTTGAACCGCAGAGTACAGCGGAGTCCAGCGTATTTTTTCATCACCTTGATCTGCCTCCGAGGGACAGTTGCTGAAGTGGTTCAAAATTCAAGCGATGAAGAGCAACGAGTCTCTCTGCTGAACCAGCACGAGGATTTGCCTGAAATAGATACCCCTTAAATCAACTTAAATCCCCTTTTTATCCAGTTGTCCTAGATATTTGGATGGGAAACCCAATTTTCAGGTACACTCACCTATCATATTGTTACATATTGTTGGTTATATGAATCCCCTTTTATTCAGATTCACAGTAAATTCTCACCATATCCCAATTTTGCTTGGTTCAATTCCCCGCGAACTACCAACTCATGGAGTTTGGGGCGAATTTTCCAGATCCAGAGTGTGATGCTGTAGCAGTTCTTTGTTATTCCTCGTTATTCCTTGTTATCCCTTTCAACATTAATGATTTTGGGTTGAAGACGTCCCCAATCCTATACATCTTGAGCTTAGAGGCCAGTCTTGCCAACTCTGCTCAATGTAGCGGGATGATGCGGGATGCTTCAAGAAGTGCTTCATGGTTCTTTATTTGGCCCCAACTGTATTGCATCAAAGGTTCTGCGTGCTGTGGGACAACCTGTTGATCCCTGCAAATTTGATACTCAATGCCGACATGAAGATGAAGAAGGACTGAAACTAATTGGATTGTAATGAGATTTGCTCGAACATACTGGACCCTTGTCATCCCTCTCAACAGAGCTGAGATTCCGAATTCTCCTTCTCAAACATTCTGGTGTGTTTCCGTGGTGCACATCAAGATCATGCACCAATTTCACCAATGTGTTGCTGGTTTGGTTCAATACACAGTGTCTACCCTCTGGTAATCCAACATAGCAATGGAAAATCATCAATTTATAGCTAATTTTCCCAATAAAAGCTCCATTTATAGGGGACTTCCTGTTCACTGATGATGTTGGCCGTCAGGAGTTTATGCTGCCGGCCTTCTGTCAGAACAAAGCTGTCTCTTCTGCCAGCCCAGCCAGTGTTGCCATGTAACGGCCTGGGGCAAATCTGTAAATGGTGGAGAACATCCACTGCCATGTGGCTGATTTCCGGACGGTATAGAACATGTGTATTTTCAACATGATTTCAACTGTCTCATTTTGGAGTCTGTTCAGCAGACATGTTCATCGAAGCTGTTCCATATGGGTTCGTCTGAACATTTAGGGGGAACACCCCAGAATCCAGTAGATTAAAGCAGCGTTTTCCCCATTCTCATCCATCCACCATTCTCCAGTAGCCAACTTTTGAGCTTAAATCTCCCTTTTCTAAGACACAAACCGTGACAAAGCCCAAAAATCAGAAACATCGGTGATTTTTTTTGGGCCAAATATCTCCATCAAAAGATCTGAACATGTCATAATAATGTCACAATGTCCCCATAATTATTATGCTAGTAATCACCTAATTGGTGATCATTCCATTCCCCTTGGAATTTCCACTACAAAATTGGGAACGTTGAGGCCAGGAAAATGGTCCATTTTAACCCCCTGACTTAATAAGGGGTACCTACCCAACGTCAGTGCTTACAATTTTATAGAGGACCTTGGGGCCTCAATTCTATAGAGATTTCATGCTGAATACAGCACTGAGGACTGGTCCTAGGGACTTCAATTCTATAGTGGGATATGTTCTTTTTGGATGTATGTCATGTTCTTCAATTCTATAGTGAAGTATTGGCAGAACCAATTTCCCACAACAATTCTTTGATCATCCTTGTATATCCTTGTATATTTTGGAATCATTTGGATTCATTTGGAATCGTGACATTTTTTTGCAATGTGTTGTATACTTTTTGTATTCTTGTATATTTCATCAGTTATTGATCTGTGATGCTGCTTTGCTGCTTTTCAGGTGGGACATAAGGCAGGGGTTGCCTGAGTCCCTTCAACAAGAAACAAAAGGCTAAATGAAGGGACACACAGAATCCTGGGCATTCTATGCTCGGAATCTTGTTCTCCTCTCTGTCTGTGTTGCTCTGCGCACGCGCCTTCCGGACATGTGTATTGGAGTCCAGGTGTTGTGTGAGGAACTTCTTGACCGACTTCAAGACAAATTTCCCAGATGCCAGCTTGTTGAGCTTGCCTTGAGGTTGTGACTTCGTTGTGCAAATGTTACATCTGTATTTCAAGCTGTCCCCCTCCAAAATCATCTCGATAATTGGCTCGTGTGATTTAACCCAATTGATGCAGCTCTAGCGCGCGTCCACTCCAGGTTCCTGCTCCTCTTCCACGCCTGCTTCTGCAGGAGATTGTGCAGGCTGACGCTGCGCATCGAGGAAATTTGTGATAGCTGCTTCGTCATCCAACATGTGAGTGATCTTCTCAAGAGTCAGATTTGCACCTTGCAGCAAGCGGGCACAAACGCCACAAGTTTTCTCAGGTTTCTTGCTGGTGTTGCTCTGGCTCTGGCAGAGAAGATACTGCTTGAAGGAACTCCATTTCCCGTCTGGGCAACAACCGGCATTTTTAACTTTGTTTGCTCTCCTATGCTCAGTCAACCATGGGAGGTAGGTCAAGCCCTGCTGAGCAAGTAGCCACTGCAACTTTTCCATCTTGACTTCATTCTCACTTTTTGGTCTCGATCTGTACTTCCGCTCATGGTGTGCCCTGTGATCTGTCTGGCCTCCTTGCCTTTCGTCAAGCATGCTTTCATCCATGTTTTCCGGTGGAAGAGCATTCAAGTCTAGCATGGCATTGGCAAACTCTTCCTCAACATCTGGGCGTTCAGGTTCTAGAAGCTTCTCGACTTTTTTTTTGTTTTTGGAAGGGCCTGGAAGTTGTAGTTGTGGTGAAGCTGGGAACTGATTGACAGCCACAGGCGCTGCTTTCCCCTCCCCGGCTTTCCTGACCCTTTTGCATTCAACACGTGGTGGAGTGACCATGGCACCATCTTCTCCGGTGTCTTCTGGTGGACTCTTGCGCTTGGTTCCGTTTTTAGGGGCCTTTTTCGGGGGAGTCTTCACTTCTTCTTCTTCTTCTGGTTGAGCCTCTGCGTAATCAGTGTGGAATGTAGCGAACAACTCTTGCCACAGGGGATCTTCCATCTTGGCAATCCAAGCATCCTTGAAAAAAGTGCGGACCTTCTTCTTCTCAGATTTGGCCTTCCTACTCTCGTACTCCCATTCCTGGCCATTGTGCCCAAGCAACAAGCATCGGATGGCCCACGCCATGCAGTCTCCATCAGCTGGCACATCAAGTGGCGCAATGCCGGCTGCAGAACATCTGCGGTTGAACTGGATCCAATTCTCAATCCTCAGGTAATCAGGTGAGCAGAGCTGATTCTCATCTGAATTCTCACTGGCCAAAAAAAAGGTGCAGCGGCGAACGTCATGGTGAATCAGTGATTCATTGGTGTGAGTTCTTCTCAAATAGACCCAAAAGATCTCAAGAGTATTCAAATTACAGGAAAGTATATATATATAATTATAGATATAGATAGAGAGATATATATATATATTTTTTTTCGAGACACCTCAACAAATCTTCCCATATCCCAACGGGGCAGGACAAGAAACCTGGTCTTCTCCTCTTCGATTCCAAAAATTTTGGATTCCAATAAAGCTGGGTCAGGATCATCTGGCCTCTGCGCTTCTAAATGACGCAAAGCCTTGCGATGCGCTACCACTTGTTGCATGGCTTTGCTCTGCTCCATTTGGGTCAGATCAAAGAAGTGGTCAGGCACAGCTTCTTTAAAGAATCCGGGGCACCAATGGTTCATTTGTCCCTGAGGATCAAAAGAGGCATTGCAAGAAATGAGGCACCATGACTTCTGATCTAGCTCTTCAGCAACACCTAGTGTGCCACCTTGTGGCCAAACTCCCCCCCAAAGATTCTTCACAGTTGTGCACTCCAACACTTCGTGTGGCCCATCACGCACAAAGGCAACTTTCTGGCCAGCCACTATTGCGAAGAGCTGTGCGTCCACAACGTCCAGATAGAAGCCATCTTTGGAAGCCAATGCAGCGTATTTGTGGATCTTCTTTGCCATATCGCTCTTTGGCTCAGCTCCTGCCAAAAAATGCCAAAAAACAACTCTATAGAATTGAAGTGCTCAACCCCCACGCTCGAATTTGCCTCTATAAAATTGAAAACACCAACCCTGGTACCAGATTAGCCTCTATAGAATCAAAGGATCCAAGGTCACACCTTCCTGGATCCCCCAAAATACTGGGGCATGCAGGGTTTCCTGGGGAATTCCTGGGATTCCTAGGAAAGATTGGTTGGGGGATGTTAGGGGCCGGTTGAAGTCCCAACTGTCCCCTCGTCATTAAAAGTTGGGCAGTCCCTGGTCATTCCCTAGCATTTCCTCAGAAAAACCAAAGATTCTTGGGGGATCTTGGGGGTATTCCTCCTATTTTGGGATGTCTAAAATCAGGACGTCAGGGGGCTTGATTTTATAGGAGCAATTCTGGTTGGGCACCTTGATGCCTTTGATTCTATAGAGGTATTTTCGGCCTGGGGGGTCACGTATCTCGATTTTATAGTGGTTGAATTTTATATATCTGAAATAATTCTGAAATCATTTCTGTTTTGAAGCTTTCCCTACCATTCCCTGCAGCTTAGCATCCCGTCCTGGCTTGTCTGGAAGCGGAGACGTCAACATCAGAGCTCTCAGATCTTTGCTGCTGCTTTTGGGTCCGCGTTTTCTAGACGGCGTCTTTGGGTCAGAGACTGTCTTGCTTGCAGGCTCAGGTTTTGCTGCTTTTGGTTGTGGCAATTGCTTGTCTGGCTTGCTTGCTGTCTCAGATTTCACTGCTGTTCGTTCTGGCAACTGCTGGGTCAGCTCGTGTTTGGTTGCTGGCTCAGAATTCGCTGCTGCTGGTTCTGGCAAGTGCTTGTCTGTCTTGATTGCTGTCTCAGATTTCACTGCTGTTCGTTCTGGCAACTGCTGGGTCGGCTCGTGTTTGGTTGCTGGCTGAGAATTCGCTGCTGTTGGTTGTGGCAACTGCTTGTCTGGCTTGCTTGCTGTCTCAGATTTCACTGCTGTTCGTTCTGGCACCTGCTGGGTCGGCTCGTGCTCGGTTGCTCGCTCAGAATTCGCTGCTGTTGGTTCTGGCAAGTGCTTGTCTGGCTTGCTTGCTGTCTCAGATTTCACTGCTGTTGCTTCTGGCACCTGCTGGGTCGGCTTTGGTTGTTGTGGCTGCTTCAGGTCTGGCTTCTCCACTGGATCAGATTTCGGCGCTGTGGCCGCTTTGGGAACTTCTGGCTGGGATTGATCTGTCTGGGCTCCAGCAGTTGGCGCAGTGGAGCTCGCATCTGGCAAGGACAGTGCTCGTGGTGGAACTTCTGGATGGGAAACATCTGTCTCGGGTCGTTCTGTGTGTGGATTGGTGGTAGAAGCTGGTGAAGATGGTGCTTGCTCTGCAACTTTTGGCTTGGATTGCTGTGCCAGGGCTGAATCTGTCGCTGCAGTGGTGCTTGCAGCTGGCAAGGATGACGCTCCTTGTGGAACCCCTGACCACCACTGTGGCTTTGGTCGTTGTGGCTGCTTCCGGTCTGGGTTCTTCTCTGGCTGCTGTGCCTGGGCTGAGTCTGTTGCTGCAGCGGTTCCCGCATCTGGCAAGGATGGTTCTTGTGGTGGAACTTCTGGATGGGAATTATCTGTCTTGGCTCGTTCTGTGGGCGCACTCGTGGTAGAAGCTGGCAAAGCTGGCGCTTCCTCTTCAACTTCTGGCTTGGATTGCTGTGCCATGGCTGAATCTGTCGCTGCAGTGGTGCTTGCATCTGGCAAGGATGGTGCCCTCTGTGGAGTTTCTGTTGTTTCTGTTGGCTTTGGACATTGGCTTCTCCACTGGATCAGATTTCGACGCTGTGGCCGCTTTGGGAACTTCTGGCTGGGATTGATCTGTCTGGGCTCCAGCAGTTGTCGCAGTGGTGCTTGCATCTGGCAAGGACAGTGCTCGTGGTGGAACTTCTGGATGGGAAACATCTGTCTTGGATGGCTGTGCCTGGGCTGAATCTGTCGCTGGAGCGGTGCTCGCATTTGGCGAGGAAGCATCTCTCTGGGCTTGCTCTGTCGGCAGGCTGGTGGCAGAAGCTGCTTGTGTCGCAGCTTCAGCTGCAGCTGGGCATGCTGCTTGTAGCGGTTCCTGCGAAGCACTGCCTGAATTTGCTTCTGCCTGTGCCGGCGTCTGGGCGCAAAAACCTACAACCACTTCTGATCGCTTCAATATCTATGAAATATGAAAGAAAAATAGACAATTCCATACAATTCCAAATCTTCTCAATATATTCCCAAGATGATGCAACACATTCCGAAATAAACCACAATTTTATTGCGCATACAAATGCATATAATACATACATATAGATCATTAGATATCATGAGAATTCATTAGACATGTTAGAATGCGTAAAATATGTATAAATACCAAAAATATCCAAACATATTCCACACGAATCTAGCGGAAACCATGTTGATCCACCGTGATCAACCCAGCTTTGCATCGTATTGTACCTGGGCATCATGGGCATCATCCACAAATTCATTCGCTGGCTCAGGAACCTCAAGTCGCACAGGACATAAACAGCTATCTCCATACAGCAGATTTTTTGAGCTCGTGGTTTTACATGGGTTTACGTTGGTTTTACATGGTTTTACTATATTGGCTTTCCATTGTGCCCACATTGCTGTTCATTCTCCAGACATCTTCGGACCAATGACATGTGTCGACGTACACCATATGGTATCTCCCTTCTATTGCCTCACACTGTGTGGTAGCCAAAAGATCAATACAGATCAGATCCAAGAAAAACAATTTAAAAACAAAAAACAGAAATAAAAATAAAAAACAACAAATAACAAAAATAATCAAAAATACTCTGACGTCAAAGTAGATAGCTCAGAATCTTGAGTTGCGCCATCTATGTCAAATGCAAGATGCGGAGGATAGAAATCAATGTTGAGGCTCAGTTGTGCCCCAGATTTTTTTGGTATTTTAACAAGTCTATAAAATTGAAGGGCATGACATTGAAGATTTAGAGCCTTTGCTCTCTATAAAATTGAAGTGCAAAAGGCAAACTAGGCAATAGCAAATACAGTATTCAGGTCAGCTGTCAATAAAGAAGGGATGGGTAACCCAATTTTATAGGAGGCCAACTAACCCCCCCAACCATGTATGAAGGTACCTTGGTGGCATCGATTTTATAGAGAATGTCAACTTGAAAAGACCTTGGGGTCTCTGATTCTATAGATGCATTTTCAGAAAGGGGGGTCATGTACTCCTGATTTATCACTATAAAATTGGCAACACCAACCCTTTGACTTAATACAAAGGGGGATGTCATTCCATCATTATTATGGTGGTAATCACCTAATGGGGATGACACTAATATACACTATCATGGTGGTATTACCCATATGGTGGTAATTATTAATGTATATTAAGTAATCATGTGATACCACCATAAAACATCATAAAACCATCAATGTATATTAGTATCATATAGTAACCATATAACCATTATATGATACCACCATATTACCACCCATATGGTTACACTAATATATGTAACCATTAATGTCATAAAATGGTGGTAATCCCCTAATGCTTCACTCATTCGCCAGGACGATCTCCAAATCCTTTGGTCTTTCAAGGCCGGCCGGTTGAGGGTCCCAAGCCCACGGTGCGTCGGACTGGGGAGATGGAAATCGAAGTTTGGCATATTTAGACCCCCAGTAGTTGGGATAGTTGGGATATAACATGATATAACCCCTCTAACTATGGTTCTATAGCTGGGATATATTATATATATTATATATAATATATAATATATATATTATATCATATATATATATATTATATCATATATATATTATACCATATATATACATATGTATATATATACATACATACTGGTATTTTTATATATATATATATCTACTATATAAATCTAACTAACTACTAACTATAAGTCGATACAATCCGAAGTTACATCCGTATGGTTATAGCCCCTCTAACCATGGTTATATTTCGATATGATATGAATAAGCGCTTCAACTATGGATACATAGTCCCAGCGCAGGAATTTGATGGGAAGAGAACTGTCAAGAAGAAGACCCGTGCAAAGGCCCGTGGAAGCCTTAGATGAGCATAGCTTGTCCTGCAAGAGGATGCGAAACGATGAGGTTTCAAAATTATATACACACACACATATATACAAATATATATATATACACATAGGAATATGTACTGATTATATACACGTACTGCATTATTCTTTTGAAAAAATCGGATTAATAACACTTTTGTTTCTGGACTTATTTTGACTTCATATTGAATACAAATGCCTAAATTAGGCTCATATTGACATCCATTGAGTTTCATTGTGACGTTGTAGATGAGGCCGACGCTTCTCTCAACGGCTCCGTGATGGGGCAGCCGCGGCAGCAGCTCGAGCCTTGAGACAATTCCATCTAGCATCACTTGACATATCAACACATTGATATCCCATATGTATATATATTTAATATATTTAATATTATATATATATATTATGTATATTATACACATTTATCTCTAATACAGATACAGTAGATAGATGGATGGGTGGATAGATAGGAAAGGATAAGATAAATTCAGATAAAGGATAATGGATTGGAGAACATGAGATAGAATAGATATGTTGGAAAGGTCAGATAAATTGGGTAGGTAAAGTAGATTAGATGGATTAGATTAGATTGGATTAGATTGGTTTAGATAGATAGAGAGAGATCCATAGATTTCATTTCATATCATTTAATGTCATATATTATATATACATATCTAATTTATATATATGTATATACAGTAATATATATATATATCTAATATATATATATCTAATATATATCGATCTATCTATCTATCTATATATATATATATTTGATGAACCAACCAGGATACGAATCGCCATCCAATCTTGGATCTTAGGCTGCAGAATCTGCCGCGTCTGCTGGAGCTGAAGCCGCACCAGCCGCGGGAGGCGGGAGATGGTGAAGCGCCAGCTCTGGCGAAGATCACCCGTTTTGAGTGGTTTCCATTGCCAGATTCAGCCAAAGATTGGATGATTTTACTGGCAAAAATCATAAAAACATCATCAGATCGCAGTTTTACGGTGACTTTGAAAGTCTGCACCCTCCGGGCATCAAAACGTAGCTTGCCGGAACATCTCCCACAGATAGTTTTTTTTTCCCAGCCTTTAAACCTCCATTTGGGTCGTGGATTTCCCAGCTTGCCACGTTACCAGAGGCTAATTCCCCTAGGAATGCGACATTTTTCCAGTTGCCATACTTGATTGCTACAGGAAAATCATCAGAAATTGTGTTTTGACCCCAGAAATGGCGTTTTTTTTTGCAATGGGAAAGCTAGTTGGTTTCTACCAGAAATGGCTTCCTGAGATCCCCATAGCTATGACATTGACTCATGCCCACAAGGGCCGTTTTGGGGACGAGGTTCTCAGGGATTGGCGTTCGAAAATGTGGACGTCACTTTAAATGACTTTAAATATGAAAAGGGATGAACATCCATTTCTATCTAAATATGTCAAAATGGACCATAAATTTTGATCTTCATCAGCAGAGCAACAGGGTACTGTAATTGTTGAATTATTGGCCCATAGCCATAGGACCAGAGTATGCTGGCGAAACTTTTGTTGCTAGGGATCGTCCAAGCATGTCCAATGTAGGTCCACTGGTTCTCAATTTTCTTGCTAGATACTGTGGATATCTGTGGCTGGGCCAGCGAAATCCTGTATAGTTGATGGTTTATCCCATGATTTATAGGCTTTCAACCATCCTTTTGGTGGTGGAAAAGATCGCAATCATCCAAGAGGGCGGATGGCATGTCCTCGGCCACGGGCCGCAGGAAAGTCCAAGGGCAAGGCGTTTGGATCCTCAGTGCTTTGAGGTGACAGGGGGAAGAAGTTCATGTGGTCAACCCCACAATGAACCTACTGTTTGGTGATGATGTTTACCACCCATGTATATGTATGGTAATATAAAGGATGGTTTATTAATTATTAGGTTTACTATGGTTTACCATATTACCCATTTGTTACCTAATGGAAGTAGAAAGCAAATTCTGGGTATCCCCGAATTAGCCAAATCGACTACTGAACCATTTTTTTCAGTGGTTTTTATTAGCATGGTATGCTTATTGTTGACTGTTGTTATTTATCTGTCTTTGTCACAATCATTGATTATCTGTTGATAATACGTTGATTATCATTGACCATTGATAACCATACCGTTGATTTGATGATCATTATCCCATAGGATCCATGTATGCCATATATGGTAACATTTACCATCAATATACCCCCAATGTTAGCATATATACCAGCACCATGGATCCTATGGGTATCATTCTTCAGGTGAAGGGAATCTCTGTCTGATTCACCCAGGAAGGGCGGCAAGGGCGCAAAAGGAGCACCCGGGTCTGCAGCTCCGGCTGAGCCGGCGCCGGGAACTCGACTCGTTTGTTTCGATTCGTTGGATCTCCTGGGATGCAACCAGATTTTGACGGATTGAAACAGGTTGATACAGATTCAAAAAAAAAGGGCCCAACACATGGGATATATGGGTCAAGGTGAGCCTGGATGGGCAGACATTTCAAGATTTGACAAAATGGCATGGTGAATTTTGTCGTTGAAGGCCAGCTTCCGAGGCGAGGCCCGGGGCTTCAAGAAGTTCCTGTTGAAGTTTGACGATCTCTGGAAGAATACAACTCACTGCTGAATACTGTGGTGTATCTTGCGAACCAATGCAAACAATGGAACTTTAAGCAGACATTTAATCACCACATGTAGTCGCCAGAAACTTACAGCTAACGCTATTGTATAAATTTGTATAATGTTAACCAATCTACCTTGTCAGAATGTGTGTCTTCAAAAAATGTCTCATTCACTACATTATGTATTACATATGCGTGAAATGGCTGCTGAGGCTGAAGATAAGCCAACATTAGCAACTCTGTATCCTGTAAGAGCAGCATAGTTAGAGAACAATGCTTCATCAACTAACTGTGACACTTCAGAAATTACAGCACAGATAATGCTCAGTTAACTAACTGCTGTTGCAAAAACAGTCAAAGACGAAACAGGTACAACTGAACTGGAACGAACATGATGAATTGTGTCATGTAAGTCATGTATATAGGCGGCATACAGACGATACAAAGGGAGCCAAAATCGGCCATAGTACATTCAAATTAAATTGCTGCATCATTGGTTTATAGGGGAACATGGGGACATGTTGACGGTGAAAACCCATGGCTTTCTGGTGAAGATGTTCCCAATGATGATCCCTTAAACCGATCCACTGCACCTAGGCTGCTCCAACTGCTGAAGCTGGAGCGGAAACTGCAGCACCAGCAGGCTGGAGATGGTGGCTGCTGGGTAACCATGACAACCAGAATTTCGGGACCGCCACAAGAAAATGTGGTTTAACAATGACATTTGTACTATCAGAAATGGTAGGATAATCATGAAGAACAATGTTCAAACGTGAAACATGAGGATGTTTACAAGAATCGAGGATTAATTAAGCATGAAAAGCCAGAAATCAATACTGACATATTTTTTAATATCTTCGGACGTGTGGATGGGTGAAACCCCATGATATTCAATCCTGGGCGCGATGAACATCGTCATCATTGCAGCAGCAGGCATTGAGTATGCACGGAAAGGTTGACCTCGGCTGTAGCCGCATGTATGATTCTGGTGCACAAATAGTGGCACAAAAAACCACAAAAAAACGAATGGCCCAAGCATGCCCAATGCCCAATCTAGGCCCATCGGTTCTAGAGCTATGGTTGTGGCTCAAACATTTCAACTCCCAGTGGATCAATTGTGCGTGTGGGGGCCATTTTTTAAGAGGTCCATAGTCATCAAAGAATTCAGTGGAGATTCCAGCCATGTCCCATCTGCCGGATGACCCGGATGGTCCTCGGGTCCCGTCCCAGGGAAAGGGCCCAAGGGCAAGTCGTGCCAGCCCCATCTATTGCTTGTCATTTGTCAGCCATTGTTCCATTGCTATCACTCAAACCTCACGCATTCTTGGAGATGGTTATCCCAGTTGTTTGAGACTTCTTTTATGATTTGAAGTTCCGCGTGCGATGCACTACTAAAGCTTATAGTTTTCACAGGAGTGTTGATCAATGTCTTTATGTTGATTATTTGGTGCGTCATAATATCTGTTTGTGTGTGTGTGCGTCCTAGTACTTTATATGTTGTTATAATAATTATTGTTTTTGTCATTAGCATTATTGTGGTGTCCTATATGATTCACCAAGGAAGGGCAAGGGCCCTGCAAAAGGAGCCGCAGCTGCAGCTCCGGTGGCAGAGCCGCGAGCTTATCGTTTGAGGTTGAAGCGGCCCCAGAGCAGCTCTAGGTCAGTTTGGATTTTCAGACATTTCATGGTGTGCACTTGTTTGAATGTAATGTGCTAGGCCAGCTGCAGAGAAGCTCGAGGCGGGTTGGGTTTTTATGACCACTGAATTTTGAGACGTCAATCTCAAAACCATATTGCGAGGAAATTATCTAATGTCAATTACACAAATCAAATTATTCGAATTATTCGGCAATTATCATTTTTGTGAAGTTGTAATTGGAACCGGCCATTCTCAATGACCAATTTTATTAAACATAATCAATCTTATACGGTTGTAATTCTAGATATGAAAGGTCCCATCTACTACAAAAAACCGGGCAGGGAACACTTGCATAACACCAATCTAAGTTTCTGTAGAACGTCAGCCCATGGTCGGCAAAGATGCTCCAGTTATAGATATACAATGTAGTTTTGTGTAATTTTCATGTATACACATTATACTATATATATATATACATATATGCACTAGCAGATTTTTGGAGGGAGGGAGGGGGAGAGAGAGAGAGAGAGAGAGAGAGAGAGAGAAAGAAAGAAAGAAAGAAAGAAAGAAAGACTCACATAATAAGAGAGAGAGAGAGATAGAGCCATCTAAGGACATTTATGAACTAATCACGATATGAATCGCCTCATGTGTTGAGTCTTTTGTCCAGGCCACAGAAGCTTCTGCCACAACTGCTGAAGCTGGAGCTGAAGCTGCACCAGCCGCAGCAGGCTGGAGATGGTGGCAGTTCCCTTCCTCTCACGCAAACTTTGTCGCCCAAAAAGGATTGCCAACATATGCCTAATCACCTAGGTCTTAGGTCCATCAGCTGTAAATAGAGGTTTGGTTATGGCTCAATCATCTCAATTCCCTGGATTGGATCGGTGGGAGGGGCCATGGGCGGTCATAATGGTCAAGCAATGTCCAGCATCGATATCTCTCCGCCGGTGACTCACCTTCGTCGGGTAACGTCCCAGGAAAAGGCCCCAAGGGCAAGGCGTCTGAATCCTCAGTGCTGCTTTGAGGTGATCATAGTCCCATCGGCTGACAGGCAAGAGTTGGAAAATCCTTT